AAATGCCTGAACCATTCATCTAAATCTGAGAATCCCCATACATTGCACATAACACATAGCAAGAAAGAGAACAAACACCCCTATGGGGGCTAGGGTTACCCTCTTCTAGCTTTGAATTGATCTAAGGCTTCACTATTCAAACAAGCGATATCATAAATCCTAGAAATGGGAGAGCATCCTGTCCTAATTTTGGAAGATACTATAGCTCACTATATGCATAAGGTTGGCTTTACTCTAGGGTTAATGTCAAGGTGACGCTACGAATGAGTCCTTTGGGTAATAACCAATGAAGATCCCAGGAAATCAAAAGAGTCAATATAGCCTCTCATCGAAATCTGAGAACCTTAGATAGTAGAACTACCTTTTTGACAGATCTCAAAAAGTTATAACACAAGGGCTCTAAAGTAACATAGAGATAGGTATACTGTCACGAAAAGTTTGCCTGCACTCCCACCAAAATCTGGGCAACACAGGAACTTTAAGTTCACCATTGCATGCAATGCAATGAATATATAATTGGAAATAAAATTCATATCATAGAGGTTGAGTCCAGGTTTCTTAATATCTCCAACGGAGTCACCAAAAACTGTCACATGCCCGAGGGGTACCTATGCCGATGTTTAGTGATGCTATGGGTTTGTTTTGGTCTCGGTTTTTAGCTGTCCTTCGCAGTGTTCATTATCCCTATCTCTCTTGATATGGCTGCTGAACAGTGTGTATTTCTTTTGGATTTGTTTTCTCTTTGCGTTAGCTTTTTGGTCTTCTGGGTTTCTGATTTTCCTGTATAGTTGTTGTAGGGCCTGGGGTATTCCCCTTGTAATCTTGTATATCCTTTGTCTTTAATTTATGTCTTATTCACCCAAAAAAAAGAAACATAGATGAGAGTCCAGATTTGACAACTTTTATAGAAAATCCATTTTATTGCAAAACCATTGCCAGAACTGGACTGCATCACCACATTTTAGAGTCATTTTGGGAAAATTAGAAAACTAGCGACTCATGCCAAGGTCATTGTAACGCCCTCAAAATAGACCCATAAATCATATATCCGCGACATCCATAACCATAAGAGAAATAAACATGTTTCCATTCATCAGAGTATTTAGTCCAAAAGTATTACATGTTGACAACAAAAGTAAATGCCCTACGGGCTTATAACTTTCCAAGTCAACACCTGGTTACAAAAAGGAGAGTACTAACTCTACACAAAATAAGCCCTAGGCTTGATATACATATAATACAAAAATATATATATATATAATCACGAAATAAACAAAAGAGCTTTCAACTCCCACAACCATCCAAGCTAAAACCTCGGAGGCGGCATAATACCTGAACTTGAAAATGATGTCCCATATAAGGTGAGCCAACACCCAGTAGAGATATGCTAAACATAATATGAGCAATAACTAAAACATTAGCATTTGATAAATGTTTAACTCATATAAACCAACATACAACACAACCCAGCTCCATAACAAATAATCTACGTGTCATTTCACTTTCCTTTACTTATACAATTTTCAATTTATAGACATGGCTCAGAACTTGGCCAAACAATTTAAATGAGATTACATCTCATATTAAAACACTTCCTTTATCCACAATTCATTTTCAGATGAGATAACACTCATATCAAACACTTCCATACTTCACAATAGATACACATATTTGCTGTATCAATCTCAAATAAACACTTCCATACTTCATATATGATACACAGATTTGTTGTATCAATGGAGTCCATCCCCTATCTCCTCCCAAACAACAACTGGTTTAGGAGTCCATCCCCTATCTCCTCCCAAACTGCGGAGTACATCTCCTATCTCTTCCCACACAACACAATGTATATAAGCATTTATCATATACATGTTCAATCAATACACAAATTTGATGTATTATTCCAATCGTCATATTCAATGACATTCAACCGATTAGTTTTAGTTCACCTAATCATCATGCAGTGCCTACAACAATCGAGACTATCCTCCACCGATAGCCCAAAACAATTATTTCTAAACAGATAATAAATGCATCGAACAGATAATTTATCAACATTTTCAAAAGTGGGTGATTAATCAATCCAACACCACTATTCATTCTCATAATAAACCAATTTCGTTATTTCCAACTCAATTTCATATTTTCATATTAAATGTCATTAATTTCACTAATGACCCAAATATACCCAAACATGACATTTTCCCTCATTTTCTCAATATTGACCCAAAGGTCCAAATATTATCAACAACATCAATAACCTCTTTTTCAAACCCAAAACACATATGTATGAGTCAAAAGAATAAAATCCCTATTTTCAATATAACACACCTCAAACCCTAACTTCCCAAATCAAACCATTTATTCAAAAAGCTCAACATCTATGTTAAAGCTCATAACGATAAGTAGTTATTCCTACCTCAAGAGATGAGACCAAATAGAGATGATGAAGAAATCTCAAATGCTCCAAACCAAGAAAATTTCAGATTAATAGGTAGCCCACACCAAGCTCTACTCTTTTTACAAAGGGACAAAGGTAGGAGATCACTCAAGCTAGATCAAACCTTAGAGAGAAAGTATATGGTAGTGAGAGAAGCTCTCAAAATAGGGTTTTGAAAAGTAAAAGAGAGAGAGAGGGATATGAAAAAGTGATTTAAAATCACCCAGCTGCTAACTGATATACGACTAACCCGCTCGAGCGGAGAATAGGACGCTCGAGCGTCAAACACAAAAACTGGACCCGCTCGAGCGCCAAGACATAACTGCAAAACACACCCGCTCGAGTTCCAAGGGGAAACCCGCTCGAGCGTAGATTTCACTCTTCTAGTATTTTCACAGAATTCGAACACCCGCTCGAGCGCAAAGAGGCCCGCTCGAGCGCGACCCGCTTGAGCGTAAGGAAATCCATTCAAGCGTGAAAAACAAACCTACAGTACTTTTGCAAACGCACAAAATGCTGAAAGTGTATAAACTCCGCTCGAGTGCAAAGGGACCCGCTCGAGCGGACCACCAAAAATCTAGGCAACAAGAAATGGGACTAAAGCTCAACCAACCTGTTCGAAACACGCCAAATACATATTAAAACTCAAACATATGGAATTAAAGGATGACAACAAGACATATACAGCAACCCACTCCATGGAACCTAAGTCCGGATACAACAATCAAAGAAGGAAGAATCAGGATCGCTATTCCTCGTAACCAAAGATGCTTCGCTCAGAACCTTAGGTATGAGAAAGGAAGGTTATTAATTGAGCATCCCCGCTCACCCGATTAAAGACCAGCCTCTACTAAACGATGATATGAGTTTTATTAACTTTATATGTTTATATTCTGATTATTAAATAAATCTTAAAAGTTACTCTGTGAAGCATACAAATATAGACTATGCCATTCATTTTGGAACAACGTGATTTCATATGTTTTGAAAGAGTTTTGAAGATGTACAACTAAAAGAAATTGAGTTTACAATCATGAAAATCAACATCATTCCAAATTAAGCGACATAACCTCATCCATTGGCATTCATACAATTATATCAAGTAAGCAAGTAGCCATTTGGTTAGATGCTTAAACATAGTAAACAAAACACACACAAGCAGGATGCTAAAGTATAAGAAACTTACATATTTACCGACGTCCCGCAAACAGCTACAAAACAACATTAGAAAACTATGCATGATCTTATATACCCAATTCTAATGCAATTCACTCATGAAATGCAACTAAAGATTTGACTTCTAAGATATGACATGTAAATCATCTCAAGAATATGAGGTAGCGCACATAATCACATAGGAATTGATTAAAACCACAAATGCAAACTTAGCTGAATTAAGGTGCATGAAACATGGATGCAAAGCATGGATATGATTAAAAAAAATATGATGCTTATGCACAAATAAGGAAAGCAAGTAAAAGCGGAGCGGATAATTATTACAACGCTTGAAAGAATAATTACAAACCAAATTAGAGAGGGAGGAGGAAAATATTATAACAAAATAAAAACCTCACAAAACACTCAAATAAAAAAAATAATAATAAAAGTTTCATACGTCTTGAAAACCACCAAAAATTGGTCAACATCAGAAGATTACGCCGTTTTATCAAAAAGAAGTTAATCGTCTGGCCTAGGCTTAGCAAAACCTGTCTTGTTGTAATACCGAGAAAAGAACAAACAAGAAATATGTAGGCAACTCAACTAACCACTTCCGATTAGCTTATAACAAAACTAATATACAACTTAAAACAAGAAAATGGCTATAAGATTGAAAGTGCAAGAAAATGAAAGAATTAAAAACTAACCGCTTCCAGTTAGATTACAACAAAACAATATAAAACAATAGCAAGAAAAATAAGGCAAAAAATAAATATGAGCTAAACTAAATACGTAGATTACAACAAAACACTATGAAATAAAAAGTAAGAAAATAAATACGAGCTAAACTAACCACTTGGATTACAACAAAACACTATGAAATAGCAAGTAAACACCATAATTACATATCTACCATCGTGCAAGAGGATCCGAATAAGTGTCCAAGTGTTTAAACCCTAATGCATGAGAAATGGCAAGTAACCACCATAATTACATATCTGCCATCGTGCAAGAGGGCCCAAATAAGTGTACTAGTGTTCGAACGGTAATGCATGAGAAATAGCAAGTAAACACCATAATTACATATCTACCATCATGCAAGAGGATCCGAATAAGTGTCCAAGTGTTTAAACCCTAATGCATTAGAAATGGCAAGTAGACACCATAATTACATATCTTCCATCATGCAAGAGGATCAGAATACGTGTCCGTTTGTGTAAACCCTAATGCATGAGAAATGGCAAGTAAACACCATAATTATATATCTGTCATCATACAAGACGGTCCGAATAAATGTCCCAGTGTTCGAACGCTAATGCATGAGAAATGGCAAGTAAACACCATAATTAAAGTGGCTATAGCCAAACATGTTTGGTATTTTTTTTCGGGTGGGGATTGTTCAATGTGGTGTCAATGGGTTAAGTCCTACTTACTTAAGGGTAAGAGTTTTTGTGGGATTAAGGTGCCCAGTGATCCCTCCTGGGTTTGGAGAAAACTTTTGTCGCTTAGGGATTTCATTTTCCCTATTATCAAATTCAAACTTGGTAATGGTGAAAATGTGTTCCTCTGGCATGATAACTGGCACCCCTTTGGTTCGCTCTTGCTTCGGTGTGGTCCTAGGATTTTGTATGATTCCAACCTTCCTGACAATTCTAAGATTAGTTCAATTATCTCAAATGATTCTTGGAACTGGCCTTTTCCTAACTCTTGGGAGATACAGGAATGGATTGCTGCCACTCCTCCTTCTCTTAAACCTTCCCTTGATTCCCCTGATATTCTTGTGTGGAGTTTGACTGCTGATGGCTCCTTTTCTATTCACTCTGCTTGGGAATGTTGGAGGGACAAGGGCCCAAAGGTTACTTGGTGGTCTAATCTCGTTTGGGGTCCTCTTGTTATCCCTAGGGTTAGTTTCATTGTGTGGCTGGCTATCCATGAGAGACTTAACACTGGGGATAGGCTCCAAATCTTTGGTCTTCTTACGAGCCCTAGCTGCCCTTTATATTGTGCTCCTGAGGAGAACCACTCCCATCTGTTCTTTAGGTGCCTCTACTCCTCTAGGATTTGGGCTGTTATCCAAGCTAAATGTAATTCCCATTGGCCTTCTTTGCCCTGGTTGGAACTTGTTGAGTTTGCTACTAAATCAATCAATGGTCAGATTGATTTTCTTTGAGCTGCCCGTGGGTCATTTTATTTGGCGGAAATTGGGCTCTATTTTTTTCTTTGGGCAGTGGAAATTTTTTGGAATGCAACGTGAGTCAGTTCATGCCCATGCTGAATTGCGTGTATACACGGGCTTAGTTTTTTTGGGCCTTTAATCTTTGAATTAGCCACATTGCAGCGGACCTTTTGTAGTCGGTTATTTCATGTTGATTGATCGTGTGATCCTCATGTGACTCGATATGAGGGTGGTTTTGAGCCATTTCCACCAAGAGTGATTGGGGAGTCACTGTTTTGGGGAATAGTGGTTCGATAACTAGCCGAGTAAGAGACTGGGAGATGAGCGGGAGGATAGCTACCGGTTTTTTGGTCGCTTCTTGTCTTCGTGTGACCCATCCTAATTGATTATATTGCCACGCCTGACATGGAGTGAAGGGGACACTGCCGTGGGCTTTGAGGCTTGTGATCTACCACGGAAGGGACTGGGGGATGTGATGATTGCTCTCATGTTTTGTTGGCTATGTATTGGTTTGTTGCAGCGGGGCTATTGTTTTTTCACTAAACGTCTCAAGACCGTTGATTATGGTGATTGACTATGCAAGCTTCATGTGACTCAGCCAGGATCTTTCATGGGATAGATATTTTCTTTCGTCATAGCTTTGGTTGAGTGGCTAGGATGTCACGGCTCTGAGAAGCGAGATGCTTATTGGATTCCATGCTTTCATCCGAGGTAGAGACTGGGAGCAAGCGGGGGCAGTTATCATTCTCGATTGGTCTTGTTGGGTGTTTAGTTTGTTACATTTGTGTTGTGTGTTTGTCTGTTTTGTTCTCGAGTCTGTGGTGTGTTTTTGTTTATTTGCCCATATAACCACCCCAACTTCCTATCTATTACTCTGATGGGAGGGGTTACTTGGGGACAAAAAGGATATATGGGCAAAGTGGGGTTCTGTTTGTTTTCTGCTGTCCTTTCGCTTTTGCGAGTGTGGTTATATGTTGTAAGATGTCCAGTGGTAGTTTTGTGGTGTTTTTGTTCGTCTTTTGTTTGTTGTAGGGCGTACCTGGGGTATGCCCCTTGTAAACTTGTACATTTTACTGTATTTATTTTATGACTTACTTACCCAAAAAAAAAACATTCTTCTTCAAAGGTAGAAAAGAAAGTTAGAGAAAAGAATGAAAGATAAGAAAAAAAATCGAAGGGAATTCATATTCGTCCTTTTGGTCTCGAGAATTGAACACTTAAGTGACTAAGAAAACCTTAAGCGAGGTGCTTCAGTTAGCCTAATATCGTTAAGCAACAATTACTCAGGAAATTCTCTTTCTTGGTGGCTAAGCAAGGTTGGTTTGAGTTAAACTTGGCCACTTAAGCTAATGAAACAATTAGTGGCCTAATATAATTAGTTCGTTGATGAAAATAGAGAAGGATGTAGAAAGACGAAGAAAGTTGTGGGGAAACATTATTCTTGAGTGCCAAAAGAGAACGTTTGAGGAAAAAAAAGAAGAAAAAAAAGAAAGAAGAGAAATATAAAGTCAAAGGGAATTTAAATTCATCGTTTTCAGCTTGAGAATTGAACCCTCAGATGATTTAGAAATCCTTAAATGAGGTGATTAGGTTCAGCTAATATCGTTAAGTTACAATTACTCAGAAAATTATCTTTCTTGAAGACAAAAAAAGCTTAGCCTATGTTAAACTTGGCCACTTAAGCTAATGAAACAATTAGTGGCCTAATATAATTAGTTCGTTCATGAAAATAGAGAAGGATGTAGAAGGACGAAGAAAGTTGCAGGGAAACATTATTCTTGAGTGCCAAAAAGATGAAGAAATCGAAAGAAAATCAAAGGGAATACAAATTCATCGTTTTGGACTTGAGAATTGAACACTTAGATGATTTAGAATACCTTAAATGAGGTCCTTAAGCTAAACTAATATCGTTAAGTTACAATTACTCATGAAATTATCGTTCTTGGAGACAAAAAAAGCTTAGCCTATGTTAAACTTGGCCACTTAAGCTAATGAAACAACTAGTGGCCTAAGCTAATTAGTTCCTACAACAAAATGGAGAAGGGTGGCAGGTGAAGAACGAAGAAACTTAGGGATAAACATTGGGCTTGTTTGGATTGCTTTTGGAAGAGAAAGTTAGAGAACGGAAGGGGAAATTGGAAGAATGTACAAGGGAATTCAAATTCAACCATTTGGACTTTAGAATTGAACACTTACATCGTTTAGAAAAGCATAAATGTGGTGCTTGCGTCATGCTAATACCGCTATTCCATATTTACTTAGAAAATTTGCTTTTTTGGAGGATAAGCAAGGTCATCTTGAGTTAAGCTTGGCTACTTAATTGAGCATTTATGTTATTTTGAAAAGATTAAATTAGGTGCTTGTATTAAACAAATACCGTTAACCTACATTTACATAGAAAGTTCGCTTTCATGAAAGCTAAGCAAGGTCAGTTTGAGTTAAACTTGGCTACTTAAGCTAATGAAATAGGGAAGGATGGAGAAGGACGGAGAAAGTTGGATAGAAACATTCGTCTTCAGAGGTAGAAGAGAAAGTTATAGAGAAGAAAGAGAACTAAGAAAAAAATCAAAGGGAACTCTTATATTCATCCTGTTTGACTCGACAAAAAGAAAGAGAAATAAGAAAAAAAAAATCAAAGTGAACTCATATTCATCCTGTTTGACTCGACAATTGAACACTGAAGTGACTAAGAAAACCTTAAACGTGGTGCATAAGTTAAACTAATATCGTTACGCAACAATTACTCATAAAATTCTCTTTCTTGGTGGCTAATAAGCAAGGTTAATTTGAGTTAAACTTGGCCACTTAAGCTAATGAAACAATTAGTGGCCTAATATAATTAGTTCGTTGATGAAAATAGAGAAGGATGTAGAAGGACAAAGAAAGTTGCAGGGAAACATTATTCGTGAGTGCCAGAAGAGAACGTTTGAGGAAAAAAAAAAAGAAGAGAAATATGAATAAAGTCAAAGGGAAATTAAATTCATCGTTTTCTGCTTGAGAATTGAACCCTCAGATGATTTAGAAATCCTTAAATGAGGTGATTAGGTTCAACTAATATCGTTAAGTTACCATTAATCAAAAAATTCTCTTTCTCGGAGACTGGGCAAACTTAGTTTGGGTTAAAGTGGGCCACTTAAGCTAATGAAACAACTAGTGGCCTAAGCTAATTAGTTCCTACAACAAAATGGAGAAGGAAGGTAGGTGAAGCACGAAGAAACTTAGGGATAAACATTGGGCTTGTTTGGATTGCTTTTGGAAGAGAAAGTTAGAGAACGGAAGGGGAAATTGGAAGAATGTACAAGGGAATTCAAACTCAACCATTTGGACTTTAGAAAAG